TAAAAAAAAAAAAAAAAAAAAAAAAAATCTTCGAACGAAGCGAGGATTGAAAAATGGGGGTTAAAGCGGAGTAGAGAGTTGGTGGCATTTAATTAGAGTTTTCGAAGGTCAAGGATTGGAATTGGAATTTGGGGGCATATGTGGAATATATATTTGTCGGGCAGCTCGGGCATGCAAGGCATATGTGCCCTTTCCCTTACGCTTTTTAATTTGGGCAGCTCGATCCATTCCATTATTTTTTCTCCTTTTAATTATATAACCTTCTATTTTATTTTTTTTTCCAACTTTTAAAATAATTTTTAAATAATTATTTTCCATTATATATATTGATAATTGTTCTAGAAGTTCTCGTTCTAGAATGGGAGGCTTTGGCTAAAGTGTTTTAAATATTTAAATATTATTATTTTTAAGACGGATGTAAAATATTTATTTATTTATTTTTGGAAAAGATATTATTTTCTACTCATATCTTAAACCGACCACAAGATTAATTTAATAGAATAAGTTAATTAAAATTCGCACTAAATGATACAATTAGCTAGTATTATTTTTTTCTATAATTATGTGTTAAATAATTAATTTTATTTTAAATAGTAAATAATTTTTTAATTGCTGAATATTACTCATCTCTGACGAATATTGAATATTAAAATAATGAAATCTTTGGAAGATGGGAATTTAAATGTAAAATACCCATTTTCTTGTAGAAGTTAATGTTGGTTGAGACTAAACTCGAGATCTCGAAAAAAGGGAATAGAGATCTTATCGGTTGAATTATACGTAATGGTTTCACTCATTTTTCTAGATTAGACACAAATAATAATTTAAAATTTTATCAAAAAAGTCAATTTATAGCTTTAAATATTCTAGGTTGTATCAGTAAAAAAAATCCTAAACTTTAACCGAAACTTTCTTAAGTCATTAATTTACATATTACCACATATTCAAACTTTCGATTAAACTCTTATATTTTTATAATAATTTAAAAATAAAAGTAGTCGTAAAAATTGATTTATAATTATAAAGATATACCAAAATAATATAAATTGATATAATTATTAGTTTAATATCTAAAGATAATTTTATTGAAGCACTTTATCAATTTTGTGATGTTTCCTCCCTTTTTCGTGTTTGTGGTTAGTCAAAAAAAACATAATTATATGAGCTCCAATTTGTGCGCAGGCTGCATTTATTTTAGTATTAAACGTGAGATTAGTGCATCTAAAGCTTCATTATATTTTGCTTTGGTCATAAAGCACATGGATTTCCACAAATCTCCTGAGGTGTCCACGTTTGAAGACCAAGAACACCAGCCAACACTGTTGACTATATTTAGTCAATACAAGGATCTTTCAAGTCAACTAGAAGCTACAAAACGTGGTTCATTTTATTTATTTTTAAATTAAATTCTTATCTATTATATTTTGACTAATCTTACACGAGATATAATCACATTTTTTATTTTTTAAAATGCATCAGTTAGGAATAGGTTTTCACACTGTTTCGCTTTCCTTTCCAACTGATGTGGGGCCTCACAATTCATCCTCTTTTAAGGCTCAGCGTCCTTGCTAGCACTTGTTCTCTTCTCCAATCGATGTGGGACCTCTTAATCCACCCCTCTTTTCAGGGGCCCAGCGTCTTTGTTGGCACACCGCCTCGTGTTTACTCCCTTCGGGGTTCAGCCTTCT